TGCCAAAGTCTGTCACAAAAGTATAAAGTCATTCAAATCCAGATATATACAATTAACGTCGTGATGGTGGTTTTTAATTATCTAAGAATGTATTTGAACAACTTACCGATTGCCACGACGACACGAATATCTTGATCCTCCGACATGGATATTTTAAAGAAAAAAAAAAAAACGAATACTTTTAAATGTTAAAATTCACAATTTATTTTAAATTGCAGATTTATTTTAATTATTATTTTGTGAACGTATAAAAATCATTTTCTCTTTTTATATGGAGTCTTACTGTGACAATTTATTTAAAATGTGATTTTGAGTAGATGTGATCTATCGTTAATCACATCATTTTAATCACTTTACTTTTATCACAAGTTACGAAATTTTTACATATTGTACAAGTTTGCATATATTACAGTGTATATATATATATATATATTTATATTTATATATATTTATTTATTTAAACTACAAAAAGATGCATATCATTTAAAGTGATTAAAATATTTAATAAAGAACGAATTAAAGTCTTGAAATTTTTAAAAAAATGGGCCAAACTCAAGATCCCGATGGAGACGTTCAAATGACTGATCTTGGAGTTGAAAGTCAATTCCAAGAATTATTAAAAAATACGCAAGATAATTTTGAGAGCCTGAACGGAAGTTTTCAAAACTTGCTTGATGAAAATAAGAAACTCCAAAATCAGTTGACCGAACTAAAAGATGAATTAAGGATACTGAAAGGTTCCTCATCAAAATCTTCGTGCAATGTTGAAGGTGAATTTCGAAATATTAAGGATTTTATAACTGCGCAAATAAAGGAAAGTTTCGAAAATCAAAATAAGGAATTTTACAATATATTCAAAGAAGAATTGAAGAATCAGAATAGCATCCCTTTAAATGAACTTAGAAAGATTATTGAGAGTGAATTTCAAGATGTCAAAGATAAATTAAATCCCAGTGTGGGTGAGCAGGATAAAGAACCAGAATTAGAGCGATTGCGAAAAGAAAATATGGGACTAAAGAAATTGAATAAGAAATTGAAAGAAGAAAACTCGGAGTACCAGGTTAAAATAGGCGATGCGACTAGATATCGATTTGCTGACGATGATCAAAATAATTCTGTTCATTTAAACAAGGACATTAGTGACCTGTACGATAGAGTTTCTAAGTTTGTTACTCATTTGAAAAAGGATGTCCAAATGCATTCAGATAATATTTCAGGACTCCTTCGTCACTATAAGTGTACTAAAGACACCAAAGAAGAAGGTATACAACTCGAAAAGGAGGTTTTAAAACGTTTAGTAATTGATACAATTTTTCAAGTATTCAATGACTTTTTAAACTCCGAAACCTCCTGTTTTGAAAAGGAAATAATGATTGACTTAAAACCGTTATTAGACAAATCATTAACTAATACAAAATCAGATAGCAACGACATTAAGAAATCAATTTTAATAAAAATACGACAACAGGCTTATGCTATTCTCGGGAGCTTGGCATTTACAGAACCAGAACATCAGTTTATAAATCATTGCAAAACGAGACTTATTAACACAATGGATCAATATCGCACTATTACTAATGAATCTAAGAGAAAGGAAATTGAAGATCAAGCTTCAGCCCTTGTTCGTGATGTTATCAGTATATTTTATTTTCGAAGGTTTGCGCAGGAGCCAATAGTAAATTATACGTGGGTTGAAAATGATGAGCTCATAGATTCACTAACTATGATAGGCACTTGCGCTTGGGACGAAGATGAAATTGATGATTTGGTGGTACAATTTTGCTCATTTCCACTCTTTGGAATAGAACTAGAGGATCAGGACAAAAGAAAAATCTATACTCAGGCTCGTGTCATCGCAAAAAAGGATAATTTATTATCTCCAGACATACTAAGGCAGCGTGCGCATAGATATATGCTGTCGAGAAAATATGAAAAATCTCTTTACAACGTAAATAAATTATTAGATACTGAGCCGAATGATATGCTCGCGTTAAGACAACGTGGAGAGACTTATTATAGGATGAACAAATATAATGAATCACTTAAAGACTTAAATAAAGTATTAAAAAAAGTTTCAAATGACGCACACGCATTGTACATTCGTGGGGCAATTCATCACATGAATAAAAATTATAAAGATGCACTGAACGATTTGAACACATCGATAACGCTTAAATCAGATGCATCTGCGTTAAGACAACGAGGTGAAACTTTCTATGCGATGAAACAACATAAAGAATCACTTGAAGACTTTATTAAATCATTAGAAATAGATCCAGATAATGCATTTGCGTTAAGAATCAGTGGAAAAATTTATTATGAACATAAAAAGTACGATAATGCTTTGAAATATTTAGACAGATTATTAAAAATTGAACCAGACAATGCATTAGCATTGCGTATGCGTGGAGAGACTTATCGCCTAATTGAT